TGCCGCCCTGTGGCTTACCGCCTTGACCTTTGCCCTTTTGCTTGCCTTTGCCTTTGTCACCTTTGCCCTTCGGCTTGCCCTTATTCCATGCGACACGATCAATTTCCATGGGCGCGGGACCGCCTGAGGACGAAGATGCAATGCCAAACGTGCTGGCAATCGAAGTGCTCCACTTTGTCTGGGAAGTGTCCCAGCGCTCAATGAAAATCCGAAGATCCTGATACGTGGAGCTTTCTGTGATCAAGACGGTGGCCTGGGTCCTGAGTTGTCCGGACAAACATCGGAGGACAGCGGCCAAACGATTGTCGTCTGACATGCTAGTGCCAGTCAAGCCTTCATATTCATTCACCGCACTCTCGAAGCGGGTGAGTTGGGTCATAAGGCCGGTCCGGTTATCAAATGAGGGCCACGAGTGTATTGCTTGCAACAACGCCAAAATGCGATTGCGCGAACTCGGCATTAAATCTTGACTGAGGATTCTATATGCCTCAAACCCGTTTGCATCTGTCAAGGATTTCAAGACTCGCTTGCCTTTGTCATGCAAGAGCCCGGCTAAGACACCGTAAAGAAGTCGGGACCTGTCTGCTTCAGCTTCAGTCAAGGATGACAGCGCAATCGGATTGGCAGGCCTACGACGGATTGTCTGAAGCTCCACGCCAAATGCTCGATCAAGACAAGACAGGTACTGTTCCAACTCCCAAGACCAATTAGCCCACAGTGAAAGCTCTTCATCCCGGTCCTTGGGACGGAAAGGCTCAGGAGCCTTGAGGACCTTTGCAAGGTCGCGCCCTCGGATCGCCTGCTCCCTAGGCGCTGCAGTGTTGCTGGAAACAAGGGTTGTCAGGTTTTCAAACACTTGCATCAACCGCTCCTCATTCGGCGGTGCTCTGCCTGCGGCAGGCGCTGGTGAAAACGGATTCCCAGGAGGCACAAATGCCCCAGCAGGAGCTCCAAGCTCCTCATCACTATCCTCGGCACCCACTGCGGCAGCAGCCGCATCAACATATGCTTCTGCCATTGCTTCTAATCAAGATCAATGGTGCAATCGGAACCTTCGCGGTGCAATGGAACACGAAACGCAGCTGAAGAACTTGCTTGATCAGGCGTTGATTGCTCAAGATCAATGATTTCCGAACTCCCACAAGAAGAAACCTGAAGAAAACCACCTAGACTAGCGATCAGGGACCTTTCAAAGTCCGGCGCCTCAGTCTGGGCGTGCACAAAGGATTCTTGCACTGAAAACGGTATGCAATTGGCGGTGCAGATGGCAGCTCCCTCGCAAAAGAACTTCTCCTTCCACTCCTTCTCTCTCAAACACTTGCTTGCAAATTTGTAAAGCTCAGGCACAGTGTGCAATGATTGGGCTCTGGCTTCGCACGCGGCAAAGCTGGTACGCAAAATGCGCACAAAGGACTCCCTGCTTCTACCCTCGGGCTGAGGTCTCGCCCAAAGCTGCTCCTCGTACACAGACAAGAGAAGCTCACGCAGCAATTCAACTCCTGCTAGGGTTGTCGTGATTTGTTGTTCAAGCAAAGCAAAGCTCGCGGCAGCTATGGCTCGTCCGGTCGGCGCCGGGATTGCGAAGCTACGGCACTACAGCCTAGGTTCACCGAAATCACGCAACACTCTCAGAGGAACGCTGTCACAGCCTGGGCCCCTGAACTCAAGCCCACAAGAAGTCCACGTGTCCCGAAGCTGGGTCGGCCCAGCTCCGCTACCATGAACAAACTTCGGACTTTTGCAAGTACTCTGAGCCTGAATGTTACGTCGATCGTACATGCTTCGCATGCTCTTCAAGAAAACTACACGAGTGGTCAAAAGCTACCAAAACTGTTCTAGCAAAATAAGAGTACAGAGCATAGGGGAAAATGTTGATCACCAACTGCACTGCGTTGGGCGGCAGGTATTGGCGCTGTGCGCCAAGCTGCTCTGTCTCTTACTGGCGCTGTGCACCAAGCCTTTCTGTCTCTTCCCACCAGTCTCTGCTGGGCCCATCCGCAATGTTACTGTCGGTGGGCACTCGGAAGAAGGTTGTCGATCCACACAAACAGGTCACTGCCTGCTAGCAAGTAGGGCAGGAGCTCGCATTCAAAAACGAGCTGCTGCTTCTGAGCCCTGGCAACCCACTGGGCTGCCACCTGTTGGCTAATCTGTAGTCCCCAGGTGAAGGCCAGGCCTTCGCCGATGAGCACTGCCCCCAGAGGGCACACGGCGTGGGAGCTCCCACTCGCAGGCCCCGTCCATGTACAGATGGAAGTGGCGGCGGGCGTGCTGTCCTGGGAGGGCCGTGCACTACGCGTTGCAGCAGAAACTCCATGGCCTGGCGCTGCTGCTCTGAAAGGGGGACTTGCTCCGGCCCGTCCCCAGCGACGTCTCCAACGCAGATCACTGCCACGCGCGTGTTACGGCCCCAGGCCTGTTGCTCTGCAAAGATGAGACGACCGCGCAGGCTCTGCGCTTCGTGAGGAGACATGCTCCCACGGGTCAGGGCCTCGCTGATGAGGACCATGCCCAGCTCCGCTGCGCGGGTGGGCTTGTTCTGGACCGTGACTTGCCCAAGGTGCTGCTTGGACAGATCGACTCTCACGCCCAGAACGTCGAAGACTTCGCTGAAGTCGACGTTCTTCTTGGGCTCGGTGGCAACTTGCCAGCCCAACTTCTTAAACATGCTGGCAACTGCCAGGCTCACGAGCTTCTTGTGCGCGCTGCGCGTAAGAACGGTGAAGTCGTCGAAAAAGCTCGTCATGACTAATGCGAGCTTCTCGCGGCCGATGGCCTTAAGCGCCTCGCTCCAGCGCAGAAAAGCGTGCACTGCAGCCACTGCGCCAAAAGGCATGCTATGCAAGTAGGCGATCTTCACCTTCCCAGTCTCTGGGTCCCGCATGGCAATGCATGCGAATTCTTGTGTGCAGCTTGTACTGCAAGCTGTTTGTGTGCGCTTTTGAGGTCCCAGGTTCTGCCCACTATGCGGTGTGCCTGCTCTGCAGGTAGACCCTGGCGCAGCCACTCGAGGCACACTGCGAGGAGTTCGTCGATGCTATCGACCTGCACCTTCTCTGTGGTGCCGCAGCAGGAATTGATGAAGCTGCTCTTGAAGTTGTCGATAGGGCGAACTTTGACCTTTTGAAGCACTCCGAAACGAGACGATACTATCGTGTCGTGCAAGCTGGACGGGGAGAAGTCCGCTAAGGAGAGCCAGCCCTGTGTGCTCTCTTCCAAAGTGCTCTCCCAAACTTTTGCTGATACGTTTTCGTCTGTCGGCCGAAGCGCGCTGCGCACACCTCGCATCCCGATGCTATGGGAGTTCTGCAAAAGAGACGACTCGTCCAGCGACGGCGGCAGAACCTGAGGTTGTCTTTGAGGTGAGAGGGCCGCCAGCGTAAAAGCTTGTCGGGGTCTTTACGGAGCTATATTTTCCGCAGAAGGAGCGAACAGCCCTACGACCGGCACCTTCGCAAGCTTAATCTAGTGGTGCAGGAGTGGCGCCTGATCAGTCGGCTGGTGGAGGATCCGGACGGAATCCTGCTTGCACACATCCAGGCTATTTTAGTGGCGCGAGGCTGCAATGCACCTCCCTCAACATACTTGGCTGTCCAGGCGCGTTCGAAACTTTCTCGTAGGCAGGCTTTTTCCTCTGCGTGACCGCAGAGGTATTATGCTCTCTCTATGGTAGAGGCATGGCAGATGCACTTCTGTGCACCTACAGGGCTCAGAGTCGATACCCCCATGGAATTCCGACTTTCAGGCCGAATCGGGGCTCGGGGGAGCTGGCCTGGCTGTGCTATGTAGCATGTGTAGCACGCAGAATCGGGCCCGGCCTGTGCCATGGTCCGTCCGTCCGCCGCCGTCACTATCCTATTCTACTCTATCCTAGTGGGGCACGCTGAGCCGGGGCCTAGGGCTGATGATCCTCGCTTGCGGGGAGAGGCTCTAGGTTGCGGCACGGCGGTCCCAGCGAGTGGAGGTGGTGCCTGACTGTTCAAGGCTCAATTGGTGATCAGTAGCCGCCAGCCACCGATGGAGCACCGGGGAGCCGTCCAGGGAATGGGGCGGCTCCGAAGCCTCACCACCCCCGCCAGGCCTATGTGCCTGGGCGGGATACCCTCTCAGTCCCCCTCCGAGGGGGGCTGTCGGGGAACGGAATGCTGCCCGTTTTTTTCGCAGCATCTGTCGCCCCCAGTCGGGGCGTGTGGGGAACGAAAATATGCCCTTTTTTTTGCAGCTTTATTCTTGAACCAAGAGCCGCACAAAACTTACACAAGTCTGAGCAATAGACGATGCAGGCTTCACTCACAATGCACACGCACACTCAACACTCTTTTCCGTCGGTAGCAAGGGAGCACTCCACGTTCTGTCGCAGCAGGTGCTGCGACACTTGCTTAATCATCTCAGTTCGAGATTTCAAGCACTAAGATTCGCCTTTAGCGAAGCCTAAGCCTACAGGGTCGGGACTTAGAGAGGGTGCACTGCCACGGCGGGCCACGGGTGTGCACACCTCTCCCTACAGGGACCTACAACAGACTTCCCAGGGCGGCGTGGGTGGGCAAGAAAATTTTCTCTCGCACCTGAGAGCCAATCTGCATATGTCAAGCGCCATTGGATCAAACAGCATGTGTGACCCGAAGTCCTTGAAGTGCGGCACAATTCAAAAACATATTTTGAATTTTCAAGAAGTCAAGAATAAGACGCTATCTCGGGGACGAGACGGCACGTTTATTCTTGAACCAAGAGCCGCACAAAACTTACACAAGTCTGAGCAACAGACGATGCAGGCTTCACTCACAATGCACACGCACACTCAACACTCTTTTCCGTCGGTAGCAAGGGAGCACTCCACGTTTTGTCGCAGCAGGTGCTGCGACACTTGCTTTATCATCTCAGTTCGAGATTTCAAGCACTTAGATTCGCCTTTAAAGAAGCCTAAGCCTACAGGGTCGGGACTTAGAGAGGGTGCACTGCCACGGCGGGCCACGGGTGTGCACACCTCTCCCTACAGGGACCTACAACAGACTTCCCTTATTAACCTCAAATTCGGCAAAAATCTTTTCCACTACCTCTTCGACATCAGTGCACTTGACAATCTTGCGGCCGACTGAAACGTGATGACATTTCGTTCTTGAAGGTTCATCTGCAGGATTTGAGGGGCTTGGTACCCTCTGATACCACGCAGCAACGCCTGCACTTTCCTCATCCTTGAGAAGCACGCGCAGCAGGGCCTTGATGACAGCAGCGCGGCCTGACCCAGAGATGCAAACATCGCGAGCACAATTGTTGTCTACAAAGAAAACAGTGGGCCGCCCTTTCAGGGCCGACAGCCATAGCCTCATCCCACAAATGAGAGCCAGAAGTTCGGCGGGAAAGATTATCGTCTTTTGGACTTGCGCACCAAGAAGATCCTGATGTCGGGCACTCAAGGCGTGAGAGAAGGAACCGATAAGATCACCACGATGATTGAACAAGACTCCGCCAATACCGCACATCCAGTCTGAGGCCGATGGCTCGAAGCAAGCATCGGTGAAAACAAACATCGGTTCCTGTCGCAGCACCTGCACCAATCTAGGAGTGGCCTCCTTGAGGATCCCACAGAATCCCTTAAGTGAATGCAAAAGATTTGCCGGCACATGTGGAGGCAGATCGCCATAGGCAAAATCAGTGAGGTGCTTGAGGCAAACCTTGGCCAACCTACCGAAGACCTGCCCGCAAGCAAACTGCATCCTACCACGGAGCTTAAGCGCAGCACTTTTGGTCAGAGTATTGGCTTCCGTGATTGCGCGGATCGACGAACACAGCTCATTGGTACGGGACTCGGTGTTGCACAACTCAACACGGCCCGAGGGAAAACCAGTGAGGGACAAGCGAACGCCCAATGCCGTGACAAGCTCACTAAAGGGCTCGGCCTTGGACCCGTCCTTCGCAAAGGCCCAACCAAGAAGAGTGAAATAGATCTGGATTGCACTGTCGGTATTGCTCGCAAGGCAAGATTCAGAGAGAACGACAAAGTCGTCGTAATACAGTGACCAAGCCAGCTTTAGTGCAACCACTCCCAGCCACCAAAGCACGTGCGAGATGCGTAGAAAACCATAAACGGATTTGGTTGCACCAAAAGGTAAGGCTCGGCACCTGTATATGCGAGGCCTCTTCTCCTCGCAATCATAATAGGCGACATACGACGCCCATGATGATGAGGGATGAACAGGGACTTGCCTATAGGCTGCTTGTAGGTCATAGGCACGACCAACGAACTTCCTTCCAGGAAAGGCCTGCATGGCCTGAAGGGTCATTGCACAAAGCACGTCTGCGGTATGCGGTTTCGGCGATTCATCAGCCCCAACAGATTCATTGACATGCGAAATTGAAAAATCATCGATGAGGCGCGTTTTTCCCGAGGCTTGTGGCAGACCAAAGCGTTTGCTTATGATGGCATGTTCAGGCAGGTCATCAGCCTCCAGGGGGCCTACCAGCCAACCTTTGCGCACTTCATCCTCCGTCTTTTGTTTCACAATCGCATCAATCTCCTTTCCTTGACTGGTGACCTTTGCAAGGACCTCCTGCTGAATGACCTTCGCCTGCGCTTTGAGTTCGTCCTCAGTCATGGAGGCATGCCTCTCTGCCGCATTGAAGATCCCAGTACGTGGAGCATCCCCAGTCAAGCTGACCCCACTGACAAGCTCGTTGAAGGCATCTAAGTCCGGGTAACCATATTCTTGCAGAAGGCTCTTAAAGAGGAGAAGGCGTTTGGGGGAAAGTATCGGTAGAACCTCAGGGTGAAGGGAACTTTTGAATGCTTTCTCATCCTTCTCAAAGTCTTTTGCTCTGCGGGACCATTCTTTAAGCACCCTTAGCCTATGCGAGGCCAGACTTTTGGGGGTCATTTTTGAAGAGGCGGTGATCGCCTCTTGCAGCTCCTGCGGGAGGTTAGCTTCGAGCAAGGAGGGGTGGCCCGCAGCCACTGCACAGTCTACAAACTCGGAGGGCGAGAAAGGTATCCCCCACGCAAGTTCAAGCACCTTTCCAGAAACCTTGCCAGAACTTCCCTCATTATCCTTACCATCAAGCAAGTCGCTCCGGAGAAGCTGGGAGTTTTTGGGAATGGAAGACAGAGCACACGTGCACGAGGCAGGCACAGCCCAGTCGGACTCAAGGCGTTGCCTGAGAGCACATGGAGGCTGAAACAGGGAGGCCGGGCCTCGAACGACGACGACCGCACGATGTTCAGGTACCAAGGGTACAGTCTTGCTGGCTTTGGGCTGTATGCCCGTGGCGGCGCGCAGGGCCGCATAGTCCACAGGCGATGGGCGAGCACAGTCTCCAACCTGCAAGGGCAATGGGAAGGAGAGCTGCAATAGACTATTAGACTGATCAGCCGTCAAGAGGTTGTAGCCTTTCAAGGTATAGCACGAGATGACCACACGATCACCTTGCTGCACAGGGCCTTTGTCAAGGGCCAGCACTTTGCCGGGAGTGTTAACCCCAGCGATGCGACGGCAAATGGCCCCTCGAGGGCACTGCACCCAGATGCCCCCACCTGCAAAAGCAGAGAGGGCCAAGACATGACTGGCCACTGGCTCATTTTGCAAGTCACGGTGTGCTGGGGAGGCAACGTTGTCAAGTATGGCAAATGCGTTGTACGAGGCCGTAGGCAGAGCTTTAGCGATGAACGCATTGATGGCAGCAACAGACATTGGGAATTCCCGACATGATTTTCGAAGACCCGAGATGCCATTGCCTTTGCGGTACATGCCAGCATAAAAGGCACCCTGAGGATGAGGGAGCTCATCAGATTTTGCAGTGTGGGGCGGTTCTCTGGGCAGCAGCCGTACAAGGGCAAGGATCGCATCACGAGAGATGACCGCTTGCTTCAAAAGCCGAGCTGCAAAAGTTTCGGCATCACAAGTTGTAGACTCGAGCTCAACTTCGGCAGAAGGAGCTGACGACAAGGCCACACTAAGTTTATCATCATCGGAGTCAGAAACATGCACAACATCAGTGACACTGGGATTCGTAGGGATTGTGGCTCGAGGAACACCTGAGCCTTCACAGCTTTCGGGCCCAGAGGAAGCCGAAGGCTGAACAAGCGGGTCATGGGAGGATCTGAAGTCGGATTCACCCTCCCCCACCCCGCCGATATTTCAATCCTTGTGCTGCACGATTGGGTGTGGCTGGAAGCACTTGCAACACAAATGCTTGCGTGGGCAGGTGGCTGCATCACATTTGCACTTATCCCCTGAAGGTTGTACGAGAAACACAGCTGATCACCTTGCGGCGTACACGCAACCCCGCCCAGCTTGAGGATCTCCTTAGGCACTAAGCCCCAACCAGCCTGACTAGGGAAACCCTTAGTTGCCCTCTTACCCTTGCCTTTCCCTGGGCCTTTATTGTCTTCCTTCCCATCCTTGCCTGCACCTTTGAACTTCTTGCGAGGCTCCCATTTGGATCCAGTTCGCAGCGGCATCAGTCCGAAGGACACTTCATAGCTCTCCAGAGCTTGCATAAGTTCTGAGTCCAGGGGGAAGGCTCCAGTGGCATCCTTTCGTGGCTTAACACCTCTCTCGATGAGCCTTGTCCAGACCAGCTTGTCGGCCTCAACAAGCTGTGCCACGGAGGTCCTTGCGTGGTTCGGTGGCGGCTCGCGATGGATATGCGAGAACAATTTCGAGAGGTACCTTGAATAAGCATCAAAGGAGACACTCTGGCTGAAGACGTAGGCGAGGCCTCGCCTAAGGAAGGCTTCCTGCACCTGAAGCGCCGAGTGCGACGGCATAGTGAGCTCACCATCCTGATTCTTTACAACAAGGTGATTGGCATCCAACTCAAGCTGTCTAGGACCGAGTCTAGGAGTCTTCTTATAATTCGTGACTTCAAAGGTCCTAGAGATGCAGCGGTCCGGGCTGATGTACTTAAGCTGGCAAGCACTCTCCTGGCTCGCGCATTCGTCCAAGAGGGCCCTCCCCGGCTCCGTTGGCCCCTCTATGAGGAGTCCAGGCAGTTGCTTCCGCAATGAAGCTAAGCGTTGCTCTCGTTCAGCCTCCGGAACCTTCCGCGATGCTCCGTCGGGATCGCTAATCTGTTGTCGTAAATCAGCCAGCACTAAAGTTTGCGCTTCAAATATGAGGCGACGCAAGCAAGCTGAATCGGCACCCGATGCACGGGGGATCGTATCCTTGACGAATTGACTGAATGCCTCCTCTGGAATGACTTGCCCAGGCTGCCCGACGCTATATGCGAGCTGTCCCAGGGTCACGAACCCCTGGGACTTGAGACTCTTGAAGGCCGTCTCGGAGAACTTCACCTCAGCGCTTATCCAGGTGGGCTTCGCTCTCGAGGAGGGACGTCATGACACACCGAACGAGCCGCACTACAGCAACAAGAAGCCTAACACTGGAAAAATTGTCAAGTGCATACAACATGGCATGGACATTCCTTCACTTGTGCAATCCCACGATGGAGCCATGTTGAGGCCATGCCTCTGACCCCTTGGTCTTGAGCCCTTGCTCTGTTCGTCACCATGTGACTCCGACCCTATCTTCCTTGACTCATGTCAGAGACTGCAGACTCGGCGCACACCGACGAAACACACCTACAGAAACGAGCACGCACAGCCCAAACAATTTCTCTCACAGCAGCGACCCTTGTCACAGATTCTTAGCGTGGCCTTTGCCACTGAGCTCAGGAACCCTTGTTCCTGCGGCACGTACTGCACACCGGCCCGGAGGGCTCGTCCTTATCAGCAAGAATGTACATGTGATTCCTCTTTCGGCCACACATCAACATATTGACACCATACGTCCAATGCCACACATGCGACCGCTTGTGCACGACCCACTCACCACCCTTGTCCGAAGGGATGAGTTTTTGGGACTCGACTTGAGGACGCCTCTTGGGCGCAGGAGGGCTGCCACTTGAGGAATCAGAGCTATCAGAATGACCACCACTGGACTCTTCCGAACTTGAAGACTCTGATTCACTGGCCTCCGACTCGGACTTGATCTCCACCGGGGGATTCAAGGGCTTCGACATTCTAGCGCTGGCAACTGTGGCGGGCGGCGATGGCGGGAATCGCCACATGTCAGCACGGCTTGCGTCCGGCCTAAACTCTTTGTCCCGCACCTGCCTCAAGATGCCTTCAAGTTGTCTAACAGCTGGAAGCCCGAGCTCAACGCTGTAAATGGCCTCAGAGCTCTCCACGGATTTTGCATGCCTGCCCAGAATGGCCCTACACTCACTAGACAAACCGGCCTTGCTCGACCAGGCAAGCAGTGTACGCTTGAGGATCTGGGATGCAATGCGTAATGCACTGTCGTGACTCGGCACAACTAACTTCAAGAAGGCGGAAACTTCCTCGGATGTGATTCCTCGCCGGGCAAGCCTTCCCTCGACAAAATCGATAGGGGGCCTGAAGACAGGACCACCAATGTTTCCCTCAAGACTAAGGCCTATGTCCTCCATGGCACGCCGCGCCGTCAAGAACCACTCTTGATCATCAATGCCACAAACTGGCATAATGATGGGCAGCATTTGCGACAACCTTCGAGCAGCTCGCGCCGTTTTGTGTTGGCGCGTGTAGAAGATAACATATCCTTCAAATCCTGAGTCAGAGACATCCACCTCAATGTAGGACACTTTTGCCAGGTCGCTCTGTCTGCAACGGGCATACAAGCAAATCAAGACATATGCGACAAAAGCCTTATCAAGCTTGGACACAAGACCACTATGCAGCATGTGGTGCAGCTGCAGCACCTGTTGCACTAGTAACGGCGCCGACTGGCGCAGCGTGCCTCTTTCAGCAGACATCTGTTCTGACAGGCCCACGCATCGCCGAGACGGCGAGCCGCAGATTTTTGTGAGATCCATGACATGCCAAGCAAACCTCACTGCAGAGAGGAACGACGATCCTCGGGAGGCACTCGCACGACTCGTCTTGAGGAACTGCAAATAGCCCCAGTAGGCTTCATCAGTGAACATCGAGTCGCTGCTACCACGCACCGTGTCACACCATCTAATGAACTGGAGCATGGACCCTGCCCTGGCAAGCACAGTATGCACTGACCGAGTGCCCATCATTGCCGAAATCTCCTCGTCCGACGGCCGAGGCAATTCGAAAACATCTGAATACCTCAAAGCAATGACATGCCACTTTGCGATACAGGCGTTCATAAGCTTAACCTGCTTCCTCTCGAAGTCGTCGTCGTCAAGCATTCTAATGGCCTGTTCGGCAGCATGGCCTGCCTTGAAGTCGAGGCTCGGCTGTATCGGCTTCACAGCACTTGCACTGCTACTTGCATCGAGAAGATACTTTGCAAACTCGGGAGGGGACAAGTCGGCGAGGCCTAAAGAAGGTTTCTTAAGCTCAGGCAGAGCCTCGGTCAGAGGCTCAAAAATTGTTTTCATTAAGGGCGTCTCCCAAGGCAACAGCAAAGAAGGCGAAGCACTGGGTTGCGACAGCCTGCTGAAGGCATGCACAAAGGCAAGCCCCATGTTTGTAGTGCACGCGCCACTCTGGCTGCCGCCAGCTACAGCAGCGGAGTCTTGATCCCCTGAAGACCCCAAAGCCGATTCCCCCGAGAAGCCAGAAGACCCAATTCCTGCACCTCCAAAGTCCAGAGACCCTGTGACCTCACCTTCGGACTCGCAGTCCCCGAGGTCGGAAGGCTCAGGGAAGTTGTCTGCCGCCTGGGCAAAGCCCTGCTCGCCTGCAAGCTCAGCGTCACTGTCGCCCCAGTCGGGCGAGTCGGGCAAGTCGCTTCTCATCAGGAGAAGCTGCTGCAAAATCGTCAAACACAACTCTCCCCTATTGTCCTTACTGCAAGCACTGTCAGTCCTCTGCAATGCCAAAGCTCAGGCTGAGCTGCGACAAGCAGCAAAGGAGGTCCTCTAGTGGAGGCGCTTCCCATCTGCCGGCTTCAAGCCGGCGTGCACGGGCTCCTAGGGAGCAGCCTTGTGGTAGCACCCAGAACCTGCTAGACGCGATATGGGCCTCTAGAGGGGCCTCAAGAAAATTTTCTCTCGCACCTGAGAGCCAATCTGCATATGTCAAGCGCCATTGGATCAAACAACATGTGTGACCCGAAGTTCTTGAAGTGCGGCACCATTCAAAAACATATTTTGAATTTTCAAGAAGTCAAGAATAAGACGCTATCTCGGGGACGAGACGGCGCGTTTTTTCGACAAAAAAGCAAAGTCGGAATTCCGACCTTGCTCCCAACACTCACATTCAAGCCATTTGTTCATAAAAACTGTGGCCGGTGCCACAACTCGCCAGACTTGGCGAAACCTGGCACCCCCGCAGAACCGCGCTCAATTTCATCAAAAACGGGCCGGTGTCGCAACTCACCAGATTTGGTGAATGCTGACACCGCCGCAAAACCGCGCTCGATTTCATCAAAACGGGCCACTGTCATGGGCCACAGTCGCAACTCACCAGCTTTGGTGAATGCTGACAGTGCCACAAACCGCGCTCAATTTGATCAAAAACGAGCCACTGTCGCAACTGATCAGATCTGATGAATGCTGACAGTGCCACAAAACCGGGCTCAATTTGATCAAAAACGGGCCGGCGTCACAATTAGTCAGATTTGACTAAACCTGCCACCGCCACAAAACCGCGCTCGATTTCATCAAAACGGGCCACTGTCACGGGCCACAGTCGCAAGTAGTCAGATTTGACTAATTGCGACAGTGCCACAAAAGCCGCACTCAATAGCTCCAAAACGGGCCGGTGTCACAACTCATCAAATCTGATGCATGCTGCCACCCCCACAAAACCGGGTTCAATTTGGCTGCCTAAAGTCTCCCAAGAGCAGAAACCGAATCTTCTTGTTCATGCTCAGACAAGCTATGTCAGCCCACAAGGGAGTATCTAACTGAGTGAGCTCTTCGATGACCAGCCACGTTGCGCTGCAGTGCCCGTTCCGCACATTGCGCCGCACCCAGTGTTCTGCACAGCCGCATGGGTCTTCGTAATTATGTGCACCGTGTCCCCATGCTCCCGCAAGGCTTCGACGATCCTCTTGGCCAGGTGGGTCTTGCCGGTCCCCGGAAAGCCCGTGAGCAGCAGACTCTCGCCGTCCAGACAGTGGCTCACGGGATCCTCGATGATTCGACGCCACGGTGCCTTGGCTCGGATGGGCTCCGCCTCCATGCTCGGCTCGCGATACTGCCCCTTCAACCCGGCCACCTCCTCGTAGCGATAGACGGGCGTGCCGTCCCGGTGCGACATCTGCAGCAGCCGCTCCACGGCGGGCCTGTGTTTCTTGGGGACGTCCTGCATCACAAGACAATCGGTCTTGATGCATTTGAGGTACCGCCTCGGAACCTCCCCAGCGCCTAGCGAATCCGCGCCACTGCCACGTACTCGGCCCCCATGATGAAATCATGTATCGGCCGGTAGGAGCTGTTGGAGAGCAGCTCCGTCACGAAGATGTGATCCCAGTATAGATCAATTCTAGGTTCCGAGCGAACAGGCCCACGAGGCTGTTGATGGCCAGCTTGGCGTAGTGCTCCTCGCCTTGTGGCCAGCCCTGTTCCATGCGCTCGAGACCAGCTCCAGGCAGCGCGGGTCGACGTGCGCTGTGGCGTCGAGGCTCCACTTGAAGTGCTGCCACTGGGCGAGGCCCGCCTCGAGGAAATAAGCGCATACGGGCTTGGTACCACCCTGGCCCTGGCCCCACGAAGGGCAAGCGATCCAGCACGCCTTTGCGATGGTCGCAGAGCAGCTCCACGCAGGTGAGATCCGCCAGCTACCCTCCTCCGTGGGGACGATGCAGTCCAGGGAGCAAAACACCGGCAAAGGGAAGCGAGCGTTGGCCAAGCCGTTCTTCCGGCAGCGGCACACATCGATGCCCTGGCAGGGGCGGTCGAGATCCCATTTCTGCATCTGGAAGACCAGCGGCGGCAGCCTCGGCGAGGCCGCGTAGTTCTGGTACACAAAGCGGCAGAAGCGACTCTCGAGCTGCTGCTGTCCGGAGAAGGACTGGGCCACGGGGATGACGTGATCGATCTCGAAAGTGCCCAGGTGCGCCGCACAGCTTGCACATTCCCTGCTGGCGGGCGAGCAGCTCCTCCCGGCGGCTTCGGGTGTCCTCGCGCTTCCCCTGCAGCAAATGCAGGAAGACCTCCAGGCTGGCTCCGGCCAGGCGCTGTCCGCGATAGGGCACCCCCAGGCGCTCCGTCCACTGCTGCAGCACCTCCGCATCCTCGCAGAGCTCTCGGATCACGCAGTCCGCTCCGCCCGGCACCCGCAACCTCAGCGCGGACCACTCGCACAACCCGCGCATGGAGACTTTTGGATGGTGCCCCTCAGCCAGCAGCTCCGCTCGCACCCCTCGAATGTCGTCAGAATAGAAATAGCTTGATTTGATCTCCCCCTCCCAGGGCTGCCACTCCTTGAACTCAGGCACCAGGTTCTCCTGCTTAAACTGCTTGCGGTACCGCACTCGCTGCTCCACCTCATCGCAGTCTGCCACGGCCCGAGCCGTGTTGTAGAAGAATGCGTGACCGTTCCAGGACGTGAAGGCGACGGCCTTCTCCTCCTTTTCCGCGGGCTGGAAGCAGTCCAGGAGCCGACCCCCGCAGTCGACATAGAACATGGGAGCGTTGCGCCAGACGCAGAAGGTCCGGATCTCCGCGGGGGAGACGCCCCGCTCCTGCCAGTTGCCAGGGCAGATGGAGTTGAAGTCTTCCATGACCTCCCGCAATGGGATTCGCAAAAGCTCCGCCAGTTGGCGGGGTACGCAGAGCATGTCCCGGCGCTCCTCGAAGGCGCTGGCCAGGATCTGGTCCCCAGCGAAGAGTTGGTAGCTGACCTCCCGCAGAGCCCCCAGCGGTTGACGGAGGCGGATCTGCGTGTCCACCCGATTGTCGATGACCTGCATGCTCGAAGAGCTGTAGGCCCACTCATTGCGGTGGGATGCAGGAAGTAGACCTCCCCAGAGATCATGTAGATGGGTTCGTCGGGCCCCGGCTGCCCAATAGACCCGGTTAGACAAAATATTGCCGTCTCTTCGATCCTTGTAAATCTATATATTTCTACGATTTCGTCAAAGTGTTTCGGCAACTTGTTTTGCCGAAAATAGTTTAATCCTGAAACGCAAATTAGACGAATCGGTGCCACGAATTAGATTAAAATCGTTTTGACGATTTCGTCAAGATTTGCCGATTTCGACAAAGCTCGTTTTGACTATTTCGGCAAGATTTGCCGGAATAGTTAAGTCGGCGGCGGCCCAAACTGCTATCAAACTGCTTCACTCAACGGCTGAAACTGCTACACCTGTTTTGTGGTTTTGATGGCACATTTTTCAGTATATACGGAGAAGAACACTTCGAACTGATCGCATGTGAGTTTTGTAAAAGAAAGAGACATGCATGAGAGGATAAACACGAAAGAACGACACGGAGAGAGAGAGAGAGAGAGAGAGAGAGAGAGAGAGAGAGAGGCGAAAGAAAGAAAGAGAGAGAGAGAGAGAGAGAGAGAGAGAGAGAGAGAGAGAAAGAGAGAGAGAGAGAGAGAGAGAGAGAGAGAGAGAGAGGAGGGAGAGAGGAGAGAGTGAAATCGACAGAAACAGAGACGTGCAGAGACAGAAAGAGCACAGGGAGAAAGTGCGAGGACCTTGACTGACCGACCTCTGAGTGACCGACCTTGAGTGACTTTGAGTGCCCGACCTTGAGGGGAGTGTGTCGCCGCAGGTGCTTATATGGTTCCTGCGACACCCTGGAGATTCATCTCGCTGTGTGCCAGGGCCCCGATTCCAGAAGTTTTCGCTTCTCAGTCGGATGCTGCGGGTCTCTGTCATGTCGGAGTGAGGGTTCTCCGGTATATGCACACAACTTTTCTATTTATCTATCTATATCAATACCCTCGTCTATAGGTCCCTATATCTATCCATATATCTATCTAAACCTATCTTTCTATATCTATCTATCTATCTATCCTATATGTCGCATGCAAGAACCCAACAGATACAGACACACACAACCGTGGCTGTGCTGTTGCCACCTTGAGGGATCAGGCTTTGTCGCTCACCTGGAGCGAGAAAGAAGCACTCCGAGAGGGGTTTAAGGCTGTGTGTGTGTGTGTCACACATGGCTGCTTCGAAACTTCCCCGCTTGGTGGCAGACCCGAGCCTGGGAGTGGCCGACATGCAGAGTGCACTCGAATCCTTTTTGGACAGCGACGAGCAGAAGGTCAAACCGAACTTGATGGAGCTGCTCAAGCCCCCTGTTGGTGTCACCTGGAAGAGTGGAGTGTCGGCCAGCTACCTGCACAGGGTCAGCCCGCTTTTGAGCTGCTACCTGAGGAAGGCAAGGAACGGAGTTTTGCCATCAAAGAAGAACAAGCTTGCTTTAGCACGTTTGGATGAGTCTCGCTCTTTGAACGTTTCCAAGAACAAGACCAGGGCGGATTGGACGGACTACATCGATGAGATGACACGGATGGCACTCTCTCACGTGAGAGGTCTCAAGATCAGCCCTGTGAGCAAAGAGCGTCTGTGGAGGAAGTCTGACACTGTGCAGCAGCAGGCCATCCAAGATTTGCTTGATCTCCTGGTGTTGCCGAAGCACTGCCCAACAGACGTGGAAGGCGAGCCTTCCACGAACATTGAGGCGGCTGAGCCCGCTTCTGCCTTGGTGCCTGTGGCGAAGGAGGCGGATGACGAGATCGAGGAGATCAAGACCCCAGCAGTCTTGGCAGCTGAGGCTGGGAAGGCTGCACCGAGCGATGGGCTCCAGTCCCCATGCCTGAATCCCGAGGA